AAAACTCTAATGTGTATATGTTCCACACCTTTTTTAACCATTCTTCTATTGAGGGGCACCTAGGCTGTTTCCAGGTTCTGGCTATTACAAATAGTGCTGCTATGAACATAGTTGAACAAATGCTTTTGCAGTATGTTAGGGAATCTCTAGGGTATATTCCCAAGAGTGGAATTGCTGGGTCCTGAGGGAGGTTGACTCCCAGTTTCCTGAGAACCGCCACACTGATCTCCACAGTGGCTGCACAAGTTTGCATTCCCACCAACAATGTATGAGTGTTCCCCTCACCCCACATCCTCTCCAGCATAGGCTATCATTGGTGTTTTTGACTTTAGCTATTCTGACAGGCGTAAGATGGTATCTCAAAGTGGTTTTGATTTGCATTTCCCTGATCGCTAAGGAGGTTGAGCATGACCTTAAGTGTCTTCTGGCCATTCGAAGTTCATCTGTTGTGAATTCTCTGTTCAGTTCAGTACCCCATTTTTTAATTGGGTTAATTAGAGTTTTAGTGCCTAGTTTCTTGAGTTCTTTGTATATTTTGGAGATCAGACCTTTGTCTGATGAGGGTTTGGTGAATTAAACTTTCGTTATTTGCTGACGATATGATAGTGTACATAGGTGACCCCAAAAACTCTACCAAAGAACTCCTACAGCAGATAAACACCTTTAGTAATGTGGCAGGATGCAAGATCAACTCCAAAATATCAATGGCCCTGCTATACACAAAGGATAAAGAAGCAGAGGGGGAAATCAGAGAAACATCACCTTTCACGATAGCCACAAATAGCATAAAATATCTTGGGGTTACTCTAACCAAGGAAGTGAAAGACCTATTTGACAAGAACTTTAAGTCTTTGAAGAAAGAAATTGAGGAGGATACCAGAAAATGGAAAGATCTCCCTTGTTCTTGGATTGGGAGGATCAACATAGTAAAAATGACAATTCTACCAAAAGCAATCTATAGATTCAATGCAATCCCCATCAAAATCCCATCAAACTTCTTCACAGACCTTGAGAAAACAATAATCAAGTTTATATGGCAAAACAAAAAACCCAGGATAGCCAAAACAATCTTATACAATAAAGGAACTTCAGGAGGCATTACCATCCCTGACTTCAAACTCTATTACAGAGCTACAGTATTGAAAACAGCTTGGTATTGGCATAAGAACAGAGTAATCGACCTTTGGAATCGAATAGAAGACCCGGATATTAACCCACAAACCTATGAGCACCTAATTTTTGACAAGGGAGCTAAAGGTATACAATGGAAGAAGGAAAGCATCTTTAACAAATGGTGCTGGCATAACTGGATGTCAACCTGTAGAAGGATGAAAGTAGATCCATACCTATCACCATGCACAAAACTCAGGTCCAAATGGATTAAAGACATCAACATTAATCCGTCCACTCTGAACCTGATAGAAGAGAAAGTGGGAAGTAGTCTACAAGATATAGGCACAGGAGGCCTCTTCCTAAGTAGGACTCCAGCAGCACAGACAATAAGAGAAACAATGAATAAATGGGATCTACTGAAACTGAGAAGCTTCTGTAAAGCAAAGGACACTGTGAGTAAGACAAAAAGGCTGCCTTCTGACTGGGGTAAACTGATTTTTCAACGATTTTTTCACTCTTATTATTTTCATGGGGTTGTTTTTCTTTAATTGGTTTTACCCATTAGCTATTGGCATAGGAGATTATCATTGTATGATGGAACCATTGTATGATAGTCTTCCACAGGATCACAGAGCATTGGGATTATGGCTTGCTTTGTCTTACTTGAGCCCCCTTCAGAGTGTCAATTACATTAATCATTTTATATCTTAAATAATTATTAACACGAATAGTGTTAGTTTATTCTGTCTTTTGATAGGACCCATTTTTTTCCTGGTGGCTCTCACAGAGGACATATCTATCTATCTATCTATGTATCTATGTATCTATCTATCTATCTATCTATCTATCTATCTATCTATCTATCTATCTATCTATCTATCTATCTATCTATTCATCCATCCATCATCTATCTATCATCTATCTTTCTATCATCTATCTATCTATCTATCTATCTATCTATCTATCTATCTATCTATC